GTTAAGTCTCCAATGTGAGCTTTCTCTGTTTTCTTTAAGTGGGCACTTAGTGCTATGAACTTTCCTCTTAGGACTGCTTTCATAGTGTCCCATAAGTTCAAGTATGTTGTTTCTTTATTTTCATTGAATTCCAGGAAGACTTTAATTTCTTTCTTTATTTCTTCCTTAATCCAGGTATGGTTCAGTAGTTGACTGTTCAGTTTCCATGACTTTGTAGGCTTTCTGGGGGTAGCATTATTGTTGAATTCTAAGTTTAATCCATGGTGATCTGATAAGACACAGGTGGTTATTAATATTTTTTTGTAACTGTGGATGTTTGCTTTGTTACCAATTATGTGGTCGATTTTCGAGAAGATTCCATGAGCTGCAGAGAAGAAGGTATATTCTTTCCTATTTGGATGGAATGTTCTATAGATGTCTGTTAAGTCCATTTGATTCATTACCTCCATTACTTCTCTTATTTCTCTGTTAGGTTTCTGTCTGATTGACCTGTCCATTGCTGAGAGAGGAGTGTTGAAGTCTCCTACTATTAGTGTGTGCGGTTTGATGGCTGCCTTGAATTTTAGCAATGTTTCTTTTATGTACGTGGGTGCTTTTATATTAGGGGCATAGATGTTCAGGATTGAGACTTCATCCTGATGAACTGTTCCTGTTATGAGTATAAAATGCCCCTCTCCATCTCTTCTGATTGATTTAAGTTTGAAGTCAACTTTGTTAGAGATTAATATGGCCACACCTGCCTGTTTCTTAGGTCCATTTGCTTGATAGGCCTTTTCCCAGCCCTTTACTCTGAGTAGGTGCCTGTCTTTGTGGTTGAGGCGTGTTTCTTGTAAACAGGAGAATGTTGGATCCTGTTTTCGTATCCAATCTCTTAGCCTGTGCCTTTTTATAGGTGAGTTGAGTCCATTGACATTAAGTGATATTAATGACCAGTGGTTGTTAACTCCGGTCATTTTTTTTTTTAGTCGTAGAGTTTGTGTGTTTCCCTTCTTTGTTTTGTGTTGGTGAAGGGTCTCTAGATGTCTCACTTATTGTGGTCATTGTTGGACTCCTTGGTTAGTGATTTTCCTTCAATTACTTTCTGTAAGGCTGGATTTGTTGCTGCGTATTGTTTAAATTTGTTTTTATCTTGGAAAATTTTATTTTCTCCATTTATAGTGAATGAAAGCTTGGCTGGGTATAGTAATTTGGGCTTGCACCTATGGTCTCTCAGTTTCTGCAGTACATCTATCCAGGACCTTCTGGCTTTCATGGTTTCCATGGAGAAGTCAGGTGTAAGTCTGATAGGTTTACCTTTATAAGTAATTTGGCCTTTTTCCTTTGCAGCTCTTAATATTCTTTCCTTATTCTGTATACTTTGTGTTTTGACAATTATATGGCGAGGGGATGTTTTTTTTTTTTTTGATTCAGTCTATTCGGTGTTCTGTATGCTTCTTGCACCTTCATAGGTATATCTTTCTTTAGGTTGGGAAAGTTTTCTTCTATAATTTTATTAAATATATTTTCTGGACCATTGAGCTGCCTTTCTTCTCCTTCTTCTACTCCTATTATTCTTAGGTTTGGTCTTTTTATTGTGTCCCATATTTCCTGAATGTTTTGTGATGAGAGTTTGTTGGACTTGCTGTTTTCTTTGATCAGTGTGTTTATTTTCTCTATGGTATCTTCAGAATCCGAGAGTCTTTCTTCTATCTCTTGTATTCTGTTGGTTATGCTTGTTTCTGTAGTCTCTATTCGTTTACCTAGATTTTCCATGTCCAGCCGGCCCTCTGTTTGTGTTTTCTTCTTTGCCTCCATTTCAGTTTTCAGGTCTTGAACTGTTTCCATTATTTGTTTGATTGTTTTTCCTTGGTTTTCTAGGGTATCATTCACTGATTTATTCAATTCTTCAAACTTTCTATTATATTTCTCATCCATTTCTATAAGGGCGTTTTTTACATGCTGTTTAAGGGTGTCAATCACTTTCATGAAGTCAATCTTTTCTCCTTCTTCTTGATTAAGGGGTTCATGTTCTCCCCTTGTGAGGTCACTGGTTTCTGGTGGCTTCATGTTGCTTTTCAGCTTGTTGGGCAAATTCTTGCCTTGCCGTCTGCCCATCTCTTCTTCCAAATGCTCCCTCTGGTTCTTCTTTTACCGGATCAGGTCTCCTTGCCTACCCAATGTTGGCTCTCCTGGCGCCGAGAGATCAGGTCTCCGTGCTGGTTGGGCAGCTCGCAAACAAAGCGCCTGCCCTGCTTGGTGCAGGCAGGCCACAGAAACAAAGGAACTGCAGCCCGCCCGGGTGCCCCGAGTACTCGGACCCAGCGCCCAGATAGGCTGGGCTGGGCAATGCCACGCGCCAAAAGAGGGCGGTGGGGCCGAAGTGGGGAGGGCTCTGGACGGAAGCTGGGTGGGCCAGGAAGAAAGAGGCAGCACCCAGGGAGTAGAGGCCCTGCAGAGAGCCCGAGAAGGACAGGGGGCCAAGGAACCCCCGAGCTCCCCGTCCCAGGCTGGTGCCATGGGCCAGAAACTCACCCCAACGCTGGGTCTCCTTGCGCTGAGAGATCAGGCCTCCATGCTGGTTGGGCAGCTGGCAAACAAAGCGCCTCTTCTTGGCTTTCTTTAAGGGATTTGGAAGTACATTTGAATACACTGGCACAGGAAACCACTTCCTAAATATAACCCTAGCAGCACAATAATTAAATATTATAAATAAACAGTTAATAATATTACCAAATAATAATTAATTGATGGAACCTCCTGAAACTAAAAAGCTTGTGTAAAGCAAAGGACATGGCAAAAAAGACAAAATGACAGCCTACAGAATGGGAAAAGGTCTTCATCAACCCCACATCAGACAGTCTGATCTCTAAAATACACAAAGAACTCAAGGAAATTGGTCATCAAAAGAACAAAATGGAGTACAGAACTAAACAGAGAACTCTCAACAGAGGAATCTAAAATGACTGAAAGACACTTAAGGAAATGCTCAACATCCTTAGTCACTAGAGAAATGCAAATCAAAACAACTTTGAGATTCCATCACCTTACACCTGTAAGAATGGCCAAGATGACAACTTATGCTGGAGAGGTTGTGGGGTAAAGAGAACACTCCTGCATTGCTGGTGGGAATGCAAGCTGGTAGAACCCCTTTGGATGTCAGTGTGGCTATTTCTCAGAAAATTAGGAAATTCCTTCATCAAGACCCAGTAATACCACTTTTGGGGAATATATCCAAAGGATGCTCAATCGTGACACAAGGACATATGCTCAACTATGTTCATAGCAACATTGTTTATCATAGCCAGTATGTGGAAACAACCTAAATGCCCCTCAACCAAAGAATGGATAAGGAAAATGTGGTACATTTATACAATGGAGTCGTATACAGCTGAAAAAATAATGACATCTTGAAATTTTCAGGCAAATGGATGGAGCTAGAAAATATCATATTTAGGGAGGTAACCCAGACCCAGAATGACAATTATCATATGTACTTACTCATAAGTGTTTTTTAAACATAAAACAAAGAAAACCAGCCTACAAATCACAATCCCAGAGAACCTGGACAACAATTATGACCCTAAGAGAGACATACATGATTCTAATCTACATGGGAAGTAGTAAAAGGCAAGATCTCCTGAGTAAATTGGGAGCATGGGGACCATGGGAGAGAGTTGAAGGGGAAGGGAGAGGAAAGGTGGGAAGCAGAAAAAAATGTATAGCTGAATAAAATAAATAAAATAAAAAGGAAAAAGAAACATTTAGTGTGTTTTTCTTGTTTGATGTTATTCATGCTGGTTTTAATTTTAATTTTTATGTATGTTTTTGCCTTTTTATTTTCCTGGACAATACTTGATATTTGTTCTTATTGTATACAGTTTCGTTTTGGGCTTAGAACTCTTTTATTTAGACAAAAGGGGAACGTGCTGTGGAACTTCTTTAGACAATAGCCTGTAAGATACTGGCCCACTTTGGGTGTGGTCTCACATAGTATAAATGCAATCCAAAAGTGTGTGTGGGCCTCTTGTATGCTATATTTGTTTCTAGTTTCCAGCGCATGCAGAGGACTGTGGATTGCTACTCTTTCTCAGAGTTTATCTTCAAATAAATAAACCTTTGTCATACTCCATTCTGGGCTATTGTGAACTCTTTTGTACATCAACAGTTTTTTTTATTCATCAAAACTCTGTATAGGTTAACATTATTAATATTAATTAGACAATACATCTATGAAGAAGCCACCTTTTTTACAATCCACAGATAAAAATGTCCAATAGATCAGAATAGTATTCATAAAATACATATACATTAGAATGCAGGCTGTGGGGAATTCTCCATAGCTACCAGAGAAAGAATGCAAATTGGCACATGTAAAATTACAGACAGAAACAAAAGATATTCTGTAGTCTGCATTTCTCACAGGCTTTGCAGTAAACGAGTTTCCTCCACTAGAAATTAATTCTGGTGGTTTGATACCTTGAATATTAATTACTATTTTCTGTAATAATGGTGTGCAGCATATGGGCCTATGGGGGCATTCCTTTTCAAACCACCACAACATCAAAATAAATAAGGGTACAGGGAATTAAGAAATAAAGTAATGTCAAAATTTCTGAGCAAAGAAGAAAAAACAAAGAACAAAGTCAGCATAGGAAGTTGATATTTTTGAATATCGCTAATATTGAGTTGAATTACAAGTACTATTTAAAAAGGATAGTAATATCAGAACAGAAAGCTGGAAAAATAGTACAATTCTGGAATAACTTCATTATCAGAAGGAAAGAAATCCAACATAGGACTTTTCTAGGACCATATGGGCAAGACAATTAGAAAGGTGATTCTAGTCCCTAAGACCTACTCCCCATGTTAACCTATTTAGCTAAACTTCTTAATGTAGTGGACAATTAGTATGAGCTATGAATACGGTAGGTTTCCATGGTAGGAAAATTCTACAAAATATTCCAGTGTTCACATAAATATGTTTATGGGATGAAATTGTGTGGAATTTCTAAGTTTTACCATCATAGGCTTAGTTGATTTTTCTTTTTGCAAAAGATTCTTTCCAGAGCTCCCTTTATGTCTCTATTCCTCAGGCTGTAAATGAAGGGGTTCAGCATGGGGGTCACCACTGTGTACATCAAAGACATGACAGTGTCCTTCACAGTAGAGTTATTAGCTGAAGGACATAAGTAGAGACCAATGACTGTTCCATAGAACAGTGACACCACAGACAGGTGGGATCCACATGTGGAAAAGGCTTTATAGATACCTTGAGAAGAAGGAACCTTGAGGATGGAAGACACAATTCGTACATAGGACATGATAATGAGTGCAAATGGCAGGACAAGAAAGATGCTGACCACAATAAATATTACCACCTCATTGACATGTGTGTCAGAACAGGCCAGCTTTAACAGAGCAGACATATCACAGAAATAGTGGGGGATCACATTGTCCTCACAGAAAGACAATCTGGCCATGAGCAGAGTGTGCAGCATGGCATGGAAGGTGGTCAGAACCCAGGACAGCACCACCAGGCTCACACAGAGCTTGGGACTCATGATGCTGGTGTAATGAAGGGGGAAGCAGATGGCCACATAGCGATCATAGGCCATGGCCACAAGAAGGAAGTTCCCGAGGTCTCCAAAATATAGAAAGAAGTATATCTGGGTCAGACAACCTGCATAGGGGATGGATGGGTCCTGGCTCTGCATGTTCTGCAGCAATTTGGGCATTGTGACAGAGGAGAAGCAGAGGTCAGAGAAGGACAAGTTGCTGAGAAACAAGTACATGGGTGTGTGCAGGTGGGAGTCCAGTAGAATGAGGATGATGATGATGAGGTTTCCCAGGACAGTGGTGAGGTACATGGCCAGGAACAGAGCATAGAACAGGTGTTGGTGCTCTGGGGAGATGGGCAGGCCCAGGAGGAGGAACTGGGAGATTACAGTTTGGTTCCCTTCTGTCATTTTGTTTCAGGTACCTTTAAGAGAAAACATGTTAGAATTCAAAATAAATATTATCATGTCTTCCTGTTAACCATCTTTCATGTGTTCAATAATATCAATTTCTCAAACATTACAATTATTACATGCACACTTCTATGTTTGTTATCTGTATAAATATAGTACTGATGATTGAATATTCAGTTCTTTCTACCATGTTTACGTGTTCATTAATTACTAAATAATTTATGAATTTTATTCTGAGACACACAGTTCATTTGTTTTTTTATCTTATCTGCCCCTTTTGTTAACATTATTTTATGAATATTAAACAATAGTAACTGGTTCCTTTTCTAGTAATATTTCACATGACCATGGCCCCGAAAGATTTTTTTCTGAGTCAAATCCTCTCAAAATTCTATATACAACCCCATGACAAACTTTGGATTACCAATGAAAATGTTCTCTTTTTGCCTAGAGATTCTGTATTGCGTTGTTAACTAATTATCTTCTCTGGGGTATGCTATAGGAATTGAAAGTTCAAAAGATTCCAAATATGTTGGGGGTCATGCAAGGGGAACAACAAACAACTTTGGAAATCATGGAACATGACCAGGCAGTCAGCAAAAATCACAATGAGCTTTGGAGAGGCATAGCAGCAAAGACTAAATGTCCTGAGGACCTCATGCTGTTATTGAACATAGCTCTGCTTTTTGCCCTCATGTTCACTATGTCCCTCATAGCCTTTAAGTGCATGAAACCTCTCAGGGGTTTCTAACTCCTCACTGGGCAGTCTTACCGGTGCTTTCAATAATAGTGGCAGCTTTTTTCTAAGCATTTATCCTTGAGCAGATTAATAATTCAACCACCACCCTTAGAAAGTTTAGATTGCTAGTTAAATTAGGTTAAGATGTTTTTGTTAATGGTTTTGATGTAGAAAATCTTGGAAAACAATTTAAACTTTAGGAAGGCACTTTTAGTAGTTGAGAGATTGGCTTGTTGAGTTCAGGGAACAGGACAGTGGTACCATGGCTATTGTTGGCTGACTTACCTTTTTTCTGCAATATGTTGGTGAACAAAGGTGATGGTTAATTCCTTGCACCAATTTCTGCCTTCAGCCTCCTGATATGATTTAATAAAAAATACCTGTCAATGAGTGGGTATGCACCTTGAGGATTTAAAATAGAGATGACTGATTTTTTATATATAAATGTAAATTCATTATACTTTTGTTTTTTAAACAAGATTACATTTTGAGATAAATAATAAAATGATAGCTCCCTTCTTTGTAACTGCAAAATTCAGTCTGCAAGTAAAAGAACTGGCTGGGAAGAAAACCTTGCTTGCTTACAATTTTTTAATGTAATAAGCTGCTTGGACATGAATGTACTTGTTTCTTGGGGATAATTTGTTTTTCACCTGCAATACATAAATGTATAATCATGTAAGGGAAATAAGAAACATGATGTTTTACTTGTACTTATTGTAACAATTCACTTATAAATAGAATGTAACCACATTGTAATTTTTATATTGCTCAAAAGATTTTTCTGGGGTACATAAACTGTATGGGAAAAAATAAAGAAGTTAGAAGGAAGTCAACAGGAAAGAGGAAGAAGGGAGTCATCAGGGTAGAAGAACAGAACAGAAAAAGAACAGAGTAGAACAAGTAACAGAAAGAATACTAAAATGAAGATGCAGCTTTTATTCTCCAGGAAAGAAGTCTGTGTGTTTTTCTCGTCAACTCTGCATCTCATTCCCAGTCTCTCTGACATGCAGAAGGCTGGATTGTCTACACAAAGACATTTTAATGATGCCACTCATCTCTCTCTGCACCTCCTGCTCTTATGCTTTTAGAGCTCAGTATGAAGAATTCTAAGTTGCATCATAAGCAAGATTTTTTTTTTGCAAATTCATTTATTTATTTTACCTTATTTTATCTAGAACATCTGATAGATCTTCTTCCACGTTCACCTGTTGCTCCTCCATAGCTTACCAAAAGAGCATATTCATAGAAGAATGTGACATCTTCTGTCTCCTGGAATATCAAAACAGATATTTCCTTTGTATCAGTAACTATGCTATCAACCCTTCTTGAATAGGTTTCATACATAAAGTTGCACCCTGAGATGGTAATCTGATGTTTTCTTCTTCTGATTACTTCATGGGGATTATCATTGCACTTTAGAAAAAGGCATAATCTTTAACATACACAAAGCCTTAAATTTTTATCCTGTTCTTCAGTAAAGGCTTTGTTGGAAGTTGTAGTATGTTGTCTCCAGTTTTCAAAATCTGCTATTCATCATTACTATCACTCTTTGTTATCTGTGATATCTTTACGTGGCATATCCTTCATGCATATTAGGAGATAGTTACTTAATCAAAGCTTGGACACCCGGTGAGACTGGGAAAGGCCTGGTGCCATGTTCCTAAGCAGCCCATATTCTTCTCACTGTATCTGATGCCTCCAGTCACTGGTTTATAGCTGATTTCACTCCAGAATTGCAAACTCTATGCAGAAAACACTGTACCTGTCTTCATCTTGTAGCAGGGCCAATAGCTGCCCATAAGGCTTGGTTGAAACCAATGCTTCCTGAATATATCTTGGCTGTGCTTCAGCCTGAGGCCATTTCATTTAATGTTAAAGACAAAGTTTTTATTTTAATTAAAATATTTAAAAATATTTTTCAGGATATAAACCTCCTGTATAACAATTTAGCATATAAATTTGACATTCTGTGATGAATTTCAGACAGAAATTTTTGTGTTTCTAAAACATGTGGAGGGTAGGATGGGTGTATAATTTACTTTTGTAATGTTGGTGACTTAAAATAAATTTTCATGCTTCTTCTCTGAGAGTGTCATGGAAGTTGATGCAGAAATACAAAATTATGACTATTTTTATAAATTAATGAAAATATAAAAGAAGGATGTACTTGTTTCAAAATTTCTGGGGCGTTTCATCCAGAATTTATCCAATTATATCTGGTTTATTAGATGCATCAGCTTTGTTTCTGATACTGAGTTTTGAGAAACACCTGTTTTAAGGTTTTTCTGAAGTTTCATTTCAACCTTGTTAATATTTAGTCAGCACACTTGAAAAAAGATTGACATTCATACTGCAATGAGACTCTTACAACAAACTGAAGGATATCAGAAGAGAGTGTGCTTTCCTGAAGAATTTTGCCTCTAGACTGCTCTGGACTTATAACTTCAACTTCTGATATTTCAGAGACTCCGTTCTGTCAGCTGTCCCTGCACATTCCAGATATAAACAACTAAGAATACTCTCTGGTTGTAGTTTTTCTGGCCAGCCTTCTCTATTAATAATCTGTCCCAATTCTGACAAAGGAAGCAGAGGAGGATTCTTAAGAGATGTGGGAGGTCTGGGAATCTAATTCAGTGGCACAACTCTAGCCCAGCATATGTCTAAAGTATTGTATTTGATGTCTAATATCAAACAATCAAAGAAAGAAAACATTGCCAAACACAAACAAAAAGGAAAATGAGGATGGAGGCTGAGAGAGACAGAGACACAGACAAACAGAGACAGAACAGAAACTAATGGAGTCAAAATCAGGATGCTGGGATTGTCATCCTGTTGGTGATGTTCATGGTATTCAATGTTTGCATATTTGAGTGTTACAAAGGTAAGAGACATTTAGGAAAAATCACACTGATTCCAAAATTCTGCTTGTTCTGTGAGTGACTGGTACCTGTGTCTTGTGTAAGAGCATGTGTTGTAATCAGAAACCAGAGACATCACCTGGAGTTTTTGCTGCTCATGACCTAAGACTGTATCTTCTTCAGCTGTGAAGCATACAATTTTAGAGCTGGACAGCACATGAAAGTTTTAATGGAAGTGTTTCTAACATTAAAATATGCGAGTAATTCTTCACTTAATAGTATCGACAAGGAAGGAATAGCCCAAGAGATTCTGAAACAAGAACATATTTCTTTTAATATTTACAATAATGTATAAAATAAATTATTCATCACATTTATTTTCCCATACAAATTTTAATGACACTCACAGTACAGAGGTATGAGGAATTTATTTCTAGTCTCCAACATCACAGGATACTGTACACCTGATCTACTCACATATTTTTCATAAATTCAAAATTTCCTGTCTGAAATTAATCACAAATACTGATTATACCTCTGAAGTTTAGAATGCTACAGAGCAAATGAGCCCACAGGTGATGTCTATAGTACTGTCAGTGGACTGTACTTAGGAGCAATTGCACCTATTACTATTACACATGTAGGTTTTTGGGCTCTGTCAGATAAGTTTAATCATGGTCTTGGATATTTCAACTTGTTCATAGTTTATTAAAGCTTTGTAGGTGAAGGTTTGTTAAAGAAGATTTAAGAACCACAAAAAGAATACTAAAATTGGTGTAAGAACCAGCAGGCTGGGTATAGTGGCTTATAACTAATCACAGCAATTGAGAGGCTGAGGACATATGATCACCTTGAGTTTAAAGCACACTTAATCTGCAAAGTGAGTCCTTTTCTCCAAAACCCAAACAAACAGTTGTGCTGCAATGATATGACCTTTGAGAACTTTGCATAAGGAGTAATTGTAAAGAAGTACCCCACTACTAAAGAGATTATGAATGGTGTCCACAGGACAAAAAATACTTCAACAACAGCAAAGTCTTCAGAGTAAAGAGATAGCAAATAATTTTAGCATTCCTGAAACTTGTGCTGCATCACATCATACAACCAATATCTTCAAGCTAGAAGAACTGTAAGGAAGCAACTCATCCTTACCCAGGGTCCACAGGATGATGCCCAAGCCCTGATAAAAGATACTGCTCTCCTTTCTTCACTGTAGACACAGGTTGTAACAAGTCCCATAGTCGTCCCTTAAGTCTGCACCTCTGCTTCTCTCATATCCTCTTCCAGTTATCCCTGGGCCTAAGAGGCTCTGTATCTCAGAGGAGTCCAGTAACTCATTAAAGGCAGTAATTACCCAGGACCTCTGTAGGACAAGTTTTCCCAGAGTCCTTCAGTCGTGACTCATTATCACCACCAATCATATATTA